CGAGACAGTTTCTCTGCAAACAGGGGAACGAAGAGACGAGGTTTGACCTCTGGAGCTCCTCGACTCTGTTGGACTGAGTGAGTCATGGTGTTTTCTCCTGGGTTCCTCCTCTCCGATGACTCACCGTACAACACGTTCAGCCAGCAGCGTTAGTCATTGAGATTTCCTCAAATGTCAGCAGCTGAGTGGGGTGTAATGACTTTGAGGTTTTTGGGTTGTTTTTTTTTTTAAACATATTTTCTCTCATATTATTTAGCTAATTTGTAGTATTTCAGCCCCTGTTCTGTTTGTATTATAAACTCTGCAACAGCTCAAATACACAATCATCATAAGGAAAATGATTTTTCCGCGACGGAGTGAAGTACATTTTATATATTCTGGGAGTGGTTTATTATTCGACGGATGTTTTTGGACAGGAAATGGGAGTTGGGTGTTTCAGAGTTACTACAGACCCTAAAAAAGTCTCCAGAGTCATTGAGTTAAATTTAAAAAATAAGGCCTTAACTGACACTAAAATCAATTTTTTCTGAAATTACAGTCTAAAATCTCAAAATAATTATCAAAAAAAATCCAATCAAAATAACAGAGACAACATGTATACCTATATTTTCTTGTGGCCGGGATGCTCGGAGCAGATGGAAGTTGGTCTTTCTTTTGGCTGAAACCGGTACCAGGCAGCGTTCCGAGGCGCTTAAGCAGAAAGACGTCGACTTAAGCACCTCGGATTATCTCGACCTGGATGAGAATCGACACACACATATTACAAAGCAATGTGTATGAGGCGCTGTGTATTAAGCACGTGCAGTGTTTCAGACTGGACAATCAAGGCAGTGACATCCGGTATGTTAAACACAAACATGCCAAGTCATGTTCAGTTCTACCCTCCACCTGTAGGAAGTGAAGTCATTTATATGCACTGGGGGGGGGGAAGCTGTGAAAAAAATGGTAATATTGCAGCAGCAGACACAACAAATATTGTAAAATAATATAAAATAACAATTTCAGAAAAAAGCACAATAATTTTCCATAATAAAAACACATTTTTATCCTAATTGTACATCAGGTTATGTGTTCATTCTGGCTTTTAAATATTGAATAAAGGATTTTTACATGTGTATGAACATTAAATTACCTATATCAGAATTACATATGTACAGATATATAGATAGATGTAATTATAAATTATATATATAATGATAAAAAACTGCATTTTGATCAATTACTAGTCATTAAAGATTTCTGTAATTAAAGATGTTTCTCATTTAACTAACAAATCTATGTAAAATTACAGAACCAATGCTTTTTTGTTGTTGTTTTTTTTAGTTAAGGGTCACTGATTGTATATAGTTTTCCATATATATATATATTATGGTAGATGAATTTAACAGTTTCATCAATTAAATAAATTTTAAAAATATTTGTGGAATGACTAAAAATTAAATAAAATTGCTATAAATCTTTTTGTCTTTTAGTAAAAAAAAAAAAAAATCACATTTTAACAGTGACTCATAGTTACAGGTTTTTTTATTTTCTATTTTTTATTTTATAATTTTTTATTTTTTTACAAAATTAGGTGTATTTTTGACAGGTTTTTAAATAAGACATGTAGAAAAAAACTTTATTTTAAGGAAAAATCAAGATTTTAAGCTTTAATTTGGTGAATTCTCCTGAAAGAACCGCACATCAGTTTTAAAAAAAGTAGAAAATCTTTATATGGTGTCAGTTTGGCAATTTGTTTCTTTTTAAGAGATGACAGGCTTTTTGAACCGGGTTTCAGGGTTCTGAGGGTCTCGGTGTAGAAACCCTGGTCAGATGGTGTCTGTAGAAACATGTGGAATGAACCCAGATGTAAAGTGTTGGGAACCAAACCTCGCTGTTGAGTTCAGCTTGATCCTCTTACACTCAGTCGGTGGATGAAACTCTGGATATAATCCCTTTATCATTTTGTCCTTCTGTCATGTTTTAATGTGATTATGTTCAGCTTCCTCTAACTTGAACTTTCCACCTGTCTGCAGGACGGCGAGGGCCTCGTCTTCCACTACTGGGCGCTGTTCGACGGTCACGCCGGTTCGGGCGCCGCGGTCGTCGCCGCCCGCCTGCTGCAGCACCACATCGCCTGCCAGCTTCAGGCCGTCATAGAGATCTTGCGCAACCTCGCCTGCCCCCCTCCCACCGTGCTTGGAGAGGAGCCCGACGTGAACCCCTTCCTCCAGGGAAACACCCCCGGCCCTCACCGAGCCCTGACCCGGGCCGCCTCCCTGCGAGGGGCCGCCGGCGCCCCGGGCTCCCCCTGCAGCACCCCGCCGCCGCCTCGCTTCTTCACCGAGAAGAAGATCCAGCACGAGAGCCTGGTGATCGGAGCCATAGAGAACGCCTTCAAGGAGATGGTGAGGGATGGGTGACGAGCGCTCGCGCTGTCAGGACTCATTACTGTCAGGATTGGGGGGCTGCAGAGAGGCGAAGATGCAGGAGAGTGTTCGTTATCCTCCTGCGGGGGTCACTTGTTTGGCCTCGCAGTTATGGGAGAACCTGTCATCGCTCCACTATCAGCATCTTCACCGCCCACGCTCTTCCTTCCTCCGCTCCACCCCAAAGCTATTTGCACTTGTGTTTTATTTTCCAGCAGACAGCCTTACAGAGGAAAAGGTGCAGTTAATAACATTAATAATTAGCTTTCGGGGACACCATTGTTCATGTCGTTAGCGACGCCAGCGCTGTGTTTTCCTGCGATGACGAGTCTTTTGTCCTGTTTAGAAATGTGGAGGAAATTTGACAATTTGGAATGAGATTGCTTTTATTCCTTGATTCTAATTGCCTGTTATTCATTCAGAGCTCTCTCTTCTTTTATTTAGGAATTTTGTAGTTTTAAAGCACTTTTCTTGAAATTAAACAAGGCTCATTTTTTAGTTTACTGTCTGTAAATATGCAGTACAGCCAAAGTTTTATGATTTATGTGAACTAGCTCAGTGGTGAGAGAAGAATTCAGATCCTTTAACTTTATGAAATACAAGACTGGAAAAACACTCCATTGCATGTAAAAATCAAGCTTAAATAGAAATATATAGGCAGCAAAATGTAGTGACAGTGTTAAAGTAAAAGCACCATTTTGGTTCCTCTGACTGATTTATTGTTACATATGACAACATTAGATTAATAATCCTGAAGCATGACTGCGTCTGAGAAGCGTCTTACTGTTTTATCTGCGGGCTGCAAGGTGGAACGGTGGTTAGCACTGTTGCCTCGCAGCAAGAAGGTCGCCGGTTCGCGAGGACACCCAGGATCTTTCTGCATGGAGTCATGTTCTCCCCGTACAGCGTGGGTTCTCTCCGGGTTCTCCAGCTTCCTCCCACACAGTCCAGAAACATGTTGAGGTTAATTGGTGATTCTAAATTGTCCGTAGGTGTGAATGTGAGTGTGCTTGGTTGTCTGTCTCTAAGTGTAGCCCTGTGATAGACTGGTGACCTGTCCAGGGTGTCCTCTGCCTTCACCCTGATTCAGCTGGGATAGACTCCAGCCCCCCATGACCCTAGTGAGGATTAAGCGGTGTATAGATAATGGATGGATGGATGTTTTATCTGCTGCTAAACTACTTTATATAAAGGGACAGCAGCTCAATCAGATGATTAATGAAAGAAGAAAGAAGCTCTGATACAAAATTCTGTTTTCAGTTTTGAACTTTTTCTTTCATCTTCGATTGTGGGAAGATGCTGGATCATTTGAATATTTATTGAAATGAAACTGTGACAAATAGAAAGGGGAAAAAAATCACTATTTGGTGGCTGCATCAAAACACTGCTTTTTGTAAGAATGTTGGAAACACACTGATTTGATCTTAAACCGTGTGTTTTATTCTAAAAGCTTGTTACAGAATACATTGTGTAAAAACCTAACTTTGAAAGTGTCGGATAAATACAGTGGAATAGAAAGCAGTAAGAAAGATACCAGTAAAATCACACTAAAAACATTAATTTACATGTTAACAGAAAACACATTTATATCGTTTTTGACTATTTAAATCACCAAACATCTCATTATTTTCCAGATATTTGTTGTTATTTGGAAGGAGAAAGTAAATATATATTAATGTGAATAGCAACGCGTTCGTTCACAGTGTGTGACCGTAAAATGAGTTTTACTGAGTTTAATCCCACTACACATATCATTATTTTACAGATGTTTACATTGGTTATTTCCACAATCTCTTCCAGTTTTTCAGCATCACCATGTTCCATGTTGTTGTATTTTGGGGGGGATTTTGCTAGATTGGTTAGTACTGTTGCCTCGCAGCAAGAAGGTTGCCGGTTCGCGTCCCGGTGGGGGCACCGGAATCTTTCTGCGTGTCTCGTGGAGTTTGCATATTCTCCAGCGTGGGTTCTCTCCAGGTTCTCCAGCTTCCTCCCACACAGTCCAAAACATGTTGAGGTTAACTGGTGATTCTAAATTGTCCATAGGTGTGAATGTGAGTGTGCTTGGTTGTCTGTCTCTAAGTGTAGCCCTGTGATAGACTGGCGACCTGTCCAGGGTGTCCCCTGTCTTCACCCTGAGTCAGCTGGGATAGACTCCAGCCCCCCGCAACCCTAGTGAGGATTAAGCGGTGTATAGATAATGGATGGATGGATTTCACTAGATCGTTCTCTCCGTAGAGGATTAGGGGGCAGTGGATGGTTTGATGAAAACGATGTGAATCGTATGCTACGGCACGGTCACCACATCTCCAGCTGTCCTGTTGGCATTTCGGTTTTTCCTTTAATTTGTCCCCCCTCTGTTCATCCTGCTGTCCGTCACCTCTTCATCCTCGAGTCTTTCCACTGTATAATAATAGAGCTGTTGGATTTGCGCAAAGAGACTTCAAATTATCTCACAGTGGTTTTTAAAAAAACACATTTGTCAAGCAACACTCTCATCGTGCAGCAGTCCACATTGGGAGGGATTTCAAGCAGATATGTAAGCACGGCTACTGACAAATGGCACCAACAAACCAAAGCTGGTGTCAAAAGATGAAGGCGGCGCTGCGTTGGCTGTCATAATACGCTGGACTTACACGCTGATATTCTGACCCGAGGACAGAAAAACGGCACAAACAAACGCACAGCTGCACTCGGAGAGTATTTTAAGACCGTAACCTTTAGCGTCTCTGTTTACAGCTTATTTAGACAAATTGGCATCTGGCGCCAGAGAGTTGGCCCGTGAAATGATGGCTCCTGGGTGAAAACGCCACTCAACCATACACATTAGGCTGTTGATTTCTGTCCCTCTGTCTTAGTTCAAAGGCAGCATTTGATAAATATGCCCCGAATAATAAGCTTTTTAATTAAAGCTTGAGTTTCTCTTTAAAACAGCTACAGGGCATTTTACTTTTATGACACCAGACGCTTTTTAGTTTGTACAGAAATCTGCCATCCATATGCTATCAAAAAGAAAACAGATACTTTTATACGCTTCAGTTGTGCGATTTGTTATCACTGCTTTTGAAAAAGAGATCTTTTATAAGCCAACGTTTGCACAGTTTAACCACTAGATGGCAACAGAAAGCAACTAAAGCCAAATATAAGAAAAAAAATCCCTCTGAAAGCTTTTTTTTTAAGATCAGCCCCCCAAACTAACCTTCCCCCCAGTGAAAAGCGGCACTCTTACACTTGATTTGACATCCTTTGTTTGAGATTATCACTGCATCAGTTAAAGCTGTGGCCTCTGCAGAGGGGGGAAGAAGAAAAAAAAAAGATTCACCATTTAAAGCCTGCAGGAAAAAGCTGCTCCTCAGGAAGCTCTGTCTGCAGAATGTGGGAAAAAAACCTGATTTTTTTTTTTCCTTGGCAGGCAACTTTTAATGCATGAAAAAGGAGCAGTTTAAATATAGCACATAGGCATGATGAAATGTCCTTAAGTTGCTTAAGATTCTGCATGTGAACCTGATGAAGTGGAGATGCAGACCTGCCGCCGCCTGCAACGTTCAGGAACAACAAGTTCTTGTTTACTGACAGGAGGCCGACAAGAGGTTCAGGTTAAACCAATCAATAGTCTAAAGCGGTTGCCTACACTTCGTCTGTCTTTCTGAAAAGTTGATCAGATTCTCTTCAATCTCTTGCTGATTATTTTCTGCCTCTCTTCTCCTTCTGCCTATGTGGGCTGCTCGCAGTGTGGAATTGTAACTCTGTTGACATTTCTTAAATTTAACTGTCACACGTGGGAGGAGGTGGGAGGCTTTTTTTTTTTGCTTGGAAGTTCTTTTGGATTGTCTTCTTACACCGTGTTTCTCTCTTTATGATTACTAAAACTGTCTCGTGTGTTTCCCTCGTCCTCAGGATGCCCAGATTGAACGGGAGAAGCAAGTTTACAACATCACAGGAGGCTGCACGGCCCTCACCGTGGTCTACCTGCTCGGAAAACTATACGTCGGGAACGCAGGTGACAGCAGGTATGTGTGGTTGTGTTTCAGATGGAAGGGTGCAAGGGAGGGGTTGATAATTGCACCGTAGTACACCCTGGGGACCCCAAGGCGTATAATGGAGGTACAGGAACATGCCGAGGCTTCACCCGACAGAGCTGCATGTTCTTCTAAATGTCAGGTTACATGTGCGATGTTTATCCAACCCTTGTGTTTGTCTGCAGGGCTATCATTATCAGAAACAATGACATCATTCCCGTGTCAACAGAGTTCACGCCAGAGTCAGAGCGACAGCGTCTCCAATTCCTGGTAAGAAAACAACAAACACATCGTTTTTTACGTACAGATACAGCCAGTGTGGTTGAGGTGGTGGAGCGTGTTGTCTGCTTATTTTGTTGCCAGGTTCCTCCCGTACAAGTGGCAGCAGCTTTCAGCAATCACCCTGCAGTTGTTCCAGGAGTTGCACCTTCTGGTTATTAAGAAGGTTCTGATCTGTGTGGTGTTCTTGGGTTTGGTTCCTCCAGTTCAAGGGGCAACAACTGCAAGCAAGCTGCAGCAAATTTAAGCAATCGCACTGCAAGTTTTTCAGGAATTGTACATTCAAGTTAATATTAGTTTAGTGTGGTGTTCACCTGGTCTTAGGTTCCTCCAGTACAAGTGGCAGCCACAGCCATCAAGCTGTGGCCGCTTTCAGCAATCACGCTGCTTTCTCCGTGAGTTGTAGTTCTTATAAATTTGCCATCGTTGTGAGAGTACGTGGTTGAATGTCGTGGCCTAATCCCAATGAAGCGTCTTGTCAAGTGCATGAAGGCTCTGATGCAGACTTCTTGAACCGATGATGCACCTTTTCTGAGTGTGAACATCTACGGACTTTGCTGAGGGACTTAGTTTAAAATGGTTGACGTAGAAACTGGAGGTGTAAGTCACACGTTTCATCACAATATGTTTATATCAATTGTTTAAATAGTGATAGAAGATTTGTCAATATTACAAAGTCTGCCACAGAAGGATTTTGTTTCCATTCAATTTAGGGGCCTGCGATCAATATGAATGGATACATGTCCAATAACATAATCAATTACATTTATACTGTCAACTCATAAATGGAAACTAAAGTTTGGTTTCACTAAATGCATTCCTAAACTCTTAACTATTTGAATGAAATCATAAACATAAGAAAAAATGAAAAACTATTGAATGTTTTTGAAAAGAACAAAACAAACCTGTATAAAATGCCACATTTCTCATGTTTAAGTGCAAAAGTTTGTTTTGCCTTTCTATGAGGAGATTTCATTATGAAATAAAAAACAAAACAAAACTGAAAACATTTCCATTAAAGCTGGATTTTTGAGTAAACCTTCACTTATATTCAGTGTTTAAACTGTATATTTCAACAAAATACTTTCTGTCAGTTAGAACCAACTTGGTAGCAACTAACAAAGTCTGACTTAACCTGGACTTGTAGGTGCAAAAGCAACATGCATGCATCCATTCAGATCGATGTATTTTACACCTGTGGTATAAACATGATTGTCCTGCCCTCCACAAAATGTACACAAACCAAGCACAGGTGGTGTCCGTTGGAAAAACCCCACTAGGAAGTTAATATGACGGCATTTAACTGTTGTGGTTCTTTATTGCGGGCTGCAACATGGTGCAGTTGGCCTCGCAGCAAGAAGGTCGCCGGTTCGAGTCCCGGTGGGGGCACTGGGATCTTTCTACATGGAGTCTCCATGTTCTCCCCGTGCAGCGTGGGTTCTCTCCAGGTTCTCCGGCTTCCTCCCACAGAGTCCAAAAACATGTTGAGGTTAATTAGTGATTCTAAATTGTCTGTAGGTGTGAATGTAAGTGTGCTTGGTTGTCTGTCTCTAAGTGTAGCCCTGTGATAGACTGGTGACCTGTCCAGGGTGTCCCCTGCCTTCACCCTGAGTCAGCTGGGATAGACTCCAGCCCCCCATGACCCTAGTGAGGGTTAAGCAGTGTATAGATAATGGATGGATGGATGGATGGTTCTTTATTGCACATTTGTAGGACCATTTGTAGTTTCAGTCAAATTTTTTACTTGTTTTCGGCTTTACTTTTGGTAGTTTTAAAATGTATAAATGCTGTAATTTTTTTTTTTTTGTTAAGTTAGTGTCCTTTTAATACCATTTTGCGTCCTCACAAGCTCACACGCTCAAGCAAGTTCAACCTGTGAGCGTTTAGTGCCTCAGCTTTAGGATGGACATTCAGCCTTTTCGTCGCCTGTCCTGAACGTACCCCACTAGAGTCAGCTGGACCAGGCTGCAGCCCCACTGCACAGATGGATGGAGTGTTTATGTACCTGCTTTTGGAAGCATAATGCTGCGTGACGTCATATCTTCAGACAAATATACCTCCTAAGTTATGCAAAACAAAACCACATTGTCTTGATTCTCCGTACAAACAGCCCAGATCCACCTGAACTGACCCTGCTCACGTCGGCCAGCCGAGAACTGCTGACCGCTGCGTTCGCGCTCACAAGCAGCACGATCAGCAAGACACTTCTATCCCATCAGTTTCCTACGGAGGCTGTTGAACAGAGCAAATCCGCCGACGTGTGGATGCTCAGAGGAGCTTGTCGGCTCAGAATAGCTGTCAGTGATTGACCTTTTTATAGACAATGGCAGCCAGCGGTGACTCATGTTTGTGCGCTTCAGCGTCTCATTTTGGGTTGATGAATGAAAGGAATGAATGTGTGTCAAAGGCAAAAATTAGAGGAAGCAGATTCTGTTTTGCTCAGGCCATGAAAAAGCTCATTACTGTTGCTTTCAGTAGCTGCTGAGGAAAGTTGGGGCTTTTAGTTATTTTTTCCTTCGACGTAAATCAGTTTCAGCTCATCGCAGATACCTCGATGTCGGCATGGTAACATGGAAATGTCATATTTTGTCCGTCAGAACACGGAAAAGGGTGTTTTTTTTTTAACATATCTTTGTCTTTAATAGCGTTTTATGCTGTATTTCATGTTAAATGTTGACCAGTAATATCACTACTTCGCCTTAGCCCTTCATTTCCTTCTGCCCCGACAAGATAATTATTATCTTTTCGCACATTTCAAGCTGTTTAAATTACACACTATGTGACTTTGCACATTCTCAGGCAATTAATTTGCACATTCCTGCACACTGGAGGTATTTCTTGCTGCTAATTTGACTTGTAACACTGCTTCTTATTTGTCTGTAACACTTGCTGGCAACACTTTTTAAAATTTTGCTGACTGTTACGCACCAAAACAGAAAGTCCTTGCATGTGGCAGTAAAACCTTCTGATTCTGATTGAGTGGGCAAACTGTCACTTGATCTGCAAATCTGCTGCACATTTAGCCGCCTGACTGACTCAAACATTGTCCTCCAGGGCTTCATGCAGCCTCACCTGTTGGGGAATGAGTTCACGCACCTGGAATTCCCCCGGAGAGTTCAGAGGAAGGAGGTGGGCAAGAGGATGCTCTACAGGGACTTCACCATGAACGGATGGTACGTACCTCCTACCTTTTTTTGTTTCCCTCTTTCTCACACGATTCTCACCGAGCACTTAAAGACCACCTGCATCCCCAGAAATGCCCGTATTTCCATGATTTATACCGTTGAAATGGTGATTAGAAACGAAAGCCGCTAATGTTCTGGGATCGCAAACCCCCAGCGCTCTCCAGCTGCATCCATATTAAATAACATAATAATGTGGAGAAATTTGTTTTTCCGCACTGTGGTGTGAGTTTCTACTCCTGCAAGTCATTCCCTGATCCCCCCCCCCCTTTACTGCTGCTTATGCTCTTCTATACAGTGGGGGCTGAAGAGACCAGCAGAGAGCTAATGAGGGAGCAGCCTAACCTGATATGATATAATGATACAGCAGGGATGGTCCTGTTTGTGCAATGTTATGTGGGTTAGCGAGGCACCATGCTGCTCGACTGTGGCTGCAGTGAAAGCCAGTAATGAGATGTGCTTTTACTGACACTCACTCACTGACACACACACACACAGGCACATACAGTGCTGTGCCTATTGTAGTGTGTGATGTATATTTCACAATGAGGCCGCCCCACAGGAGCAAGAAATGTGCCAGCCAGGATGCGCCGCCGCTGTTGCGGTTCTCTTCGCGGCCAAGAAAAGAAGTTATTTGGAGTCATTTTGTGAATGTTTTGTGCATATCGTGAATAGACGCGTTTATTTTTCCCAGCACAGATTGAATAACTGTAGTTTTCGATGCCGTTGAGACGTTTGTTTCTGCATAAAATCATTTGGTGGACAAGAGGCAAATGCAACCCTAATCACCATTTAAACTAGCAGACTTGTTAGTTGCTTATTTGCACATCCAGCAGATACACAGCAACATTAGCATTCGTTCTGTTTACCTGGAACACTTTATGTACTTTATTGCCTCATTAGGGACATTTTTCTTGGGCTCCTGCTGCATCTAACTTACATAATACATAGACATGTGGCAGATACTGGTGTACATATATACATATATGAACACACATTCAAGTGCCGTTAGCAAAAATTAACGTAATAAGTTAAACAACAATTTGGACAACATAACTTTCTAATGCCCCAAATTCACCAATAGATTTGACATGTATTGTTATTTGGTGAAAATTGCCAAGAAGACAAATACCAGAGCGGTAAGAACAGAAAAAAGAAAAGTTTTCACCTTTCCGACAGCATTTGAACTAATCACATGTGACTTTCAATTTCGTCTGGGAAAAAAAACATCGAAGCTTAAACCTGTGACATTTCATCAAAATCACTTCATTCGACATGTCTCATTTATAAAATATATATGCAAAGAAATCACTTCATTATTGCATCACATTAATATGATAATAACAGGAACACTTTTCCTGCATTCTGGTGAATTTTCAGCACCAAATTATGGTGAAAATGTCTTTATTCATAGCAAAATGTCCGCAACAATTGAAAATTCAAAAATACAATGGAATATAACTCAGGAATTATCTCAGTGTTGCTTTCAAATATTTTACGATCAGTTTTCCTCATGAAATATCATCCCTTCTAACTCAGCACACATACAGACATGATTTACTCTTCTGTCCTCATTTGTGTTTTTGTTTAAGGAACAAGCTTTTTAGAAAAGTGCATGTTACACCGACTCACATCAATGATAAATCCATTCATTTGAATTGATTTTGAAATTTCTGATCATGTTCAAAACTTTCTGCA